CATACATCGACTGATAAAAAGGTTGAACATACAAGGAGTGTACAAACATCAAATGGTAAAAAGGTAGAACATGCAAGGAGTGTACATACATCGACTGACAAAAAGGTAGAACATGCAAGGAGTTCTGCTTAGAATGTCCCATTTCCCCCTTTTTTTTTTTTAATTTTGAAATTTAACTTTTTGTGCGAGGTGCATATTCATTCAAAAACAGTTATTGTAAAATTTTGGAACAATCAAAAAAAATTTTGCATCTATTTTTCAAAATTTTTCAAGATTTTATTATTAGTTTTTCAAAATTCATTTGAGAACTTTTAGTATGTTATTTTTCACTAAGTAATGTATTACAGGTAAAAAAACTGGGCTGAAAGAAAAATATTTAGGGGTATCACAGTATCTAGTTTGGTCATTTTGCCAATATTCAAACTCGATCAGGAAACGATAATTTATAAAAGACATCTAATGTTTTTTTGCTTTGATCTTACTCGTTTGGTCTATAGATTGTAAACTCGTATAGTTCTATTTTATAAACCGTATAAATCAAAACAAAACAGCGTCACGAATTTGTTTTACATTATTCCAAGTTCTTTATATTTTTAAAACAACTTTGCAGTTTGTTTTAATGTGGTTTTATAGTTTTTAACAATTAAATACTTTTTTAAATTAAAACGTCAGCATGAATGTATTAAATAGTTTTCTTTGACTAATTAAAGTGGTTTAGATATTGTAATGTTGCTTTTTCTCTTACTTTTTTACTTTTACTTTTTTAAGTATTATGATAAGTAAAAATATATTTAAAGAAATATCTTAATAGTATTAAAAACGTTATTGCTAATTACAACTGCAACTTAAACTTTAAGTTATAACTAAAGTTGCAAATAATAAAAGTAACTTCCACTATTTTAAACTCTGCCAAACAAGAAAATTATAAGATTATATTTAAATATGATAGATAATGTTAAAAATAGAACAATTTTGTTCAAAACTTACAATTATATACTAAGGCAACTTACCTCCCCCCCATTACCGCAAAGCGGCGCAAGGTATAGGGGGTGGGGTGGGGTGGTGAGGGTTAAATTTTTTTTTTTTTTCACGATTAGATTTTTTTGCGTTAATTCGAGCCCTGTAATATACTAAAGTTAAGAAAATGTACTTATGAATAAAATTTAAAAATCAACATTTTCAAAAAAATTTGTTTAAAAGCAATCAAAATTCAATTTTGGTTGCTTTAAAAGCAATTAAATTCAATTTTAATTGCTTTTAAATTTCCTATTGGATTTCCCATTAAATTTTATTGTATATATCTTGGCAAATCAAAAATACTATTAACTTATTATTCTATATGTACTCTATATGTACTCACAATGTAATGTTGTTATGTTATATATGTACTCTATATGTTACTCGCAACTGCTAATGTTTACCGGAGTTTATTAATTTTTAAGCAATTGTGCAATTCAGAACAGCAGTTCTGAATTGCACAATTGCTTAAAAAGAAAAGATCATCAGGACAAATTTATTGATTTGGTTTGTGAAAAACGTTTAGCTGTTGGTTCAAAACTTCCTCTAAAAGTTGTTTTTTTAAAAAGATATTTGTACCTTCGAGAAGTTGACAATGTGAGTGGAAAAGAATCCTCTTCAACCCATGATGTTTTTAACTCAATTTTAAGCGAGTCTAAAGTGGTCTTAATTAAGTGAGTCTTAAAGGGACTACCAAGTCCTGAGACATGTAGTGTTCATATTAAAGAGAATGTTAAAAAAAAACGTCTGAGCAAATTTTTTTTGATTAAAACTAATTAATAAATGTACACCAAGAATAACAAATCTTGTTGTTTTAGTCGAAGCTCGTTTTCTCCATTTTCTTCTGTATTTTGAGTATGTAAAATAAACGCGATTTTTCAGGCACATTATACAGACTTGATAATTTATTCAAGCGCGTTTAATTCATAGGAGTTTTAGTGCATGACATCATAGATTTTTTTGTTTGTTTGTTTAAAACACCGATTGTTACTTTTTCCATACAATTTCCAAATCATATTCATTTTTATCATATTTGATTGATTGATTGATTGATATTTATTAGAACAAAGTATAAATACATGTTCTAAAGGACACGAAGGCCTATACAAAGATGGACACTAACAACATGTCCAAAGAAATTTAAAAATATCGCTACAAAAAAAAAAATAACAAAACTATAAAGAAACAAATAGTTGTTCCTTTTACAATAGATATTTATTAAAGTCGAAAGATTTAATTATTAATTCTAATATTTAATATTTTAAAGTTCTAAAATGTGTTTGTAAAAAATTAAAAACAAAATAGTATTTTATTTGCGCTTTTTTTAAATAATTGTCTAGACAACGTGTATTTTGGTTTCTTTTGTTTTTCTTTTAAAATATTAGATAAAATAATTTTTAACCTAAATAATAATGCACTTTTATTAATTTACTTTGTAAATATTTAAAAAAAAAATTATTAACACATTTTTTCTCTGATTTTCAAAAATGTATTTTTTGGTATTGAGGTGATCTTATTTCATTATTTATATTTCCATTATTGAAACATCCAATATATATTATGGCGGAGGCTTAAAAATTAAAAAATTAATATATATTAATTTTTATTCAACAGACATACATGGAAACAATTAACTTGAATGTTCTTAAAACATCTTGCGGAAGAATAAAAAGAATATTCGCGAACACTAAAAACCCGCCAAATTTGCAAACAAACTAATTCTATTGGTTCAAAAAATACGCTGACTAAGCGAAATAAAGTTCTAGAGTATTCTGTTGAAATGTTTTAGGAATTGTATTATTTACGATTTGTTGCGTTTTGAGATATCATAAATTTGAGATATCATATTTGAGATATCATAAATTTTTTTTAAGAATATATTATCAAATGAACTATTACTTTAATATTATGGCTCACTCTCGGAGCCACATCTGTAAAGCCGTAAATCTTTTAAACTATTATCTTTTGTTTACAAAAATAAATGTTTTATAATATATTTTTTTTTAATTGTAAAAATTTGGAGAAAAAAAAAAGTTAATTACAAATTATATATTTTATAAGTATATTCTTAATTTTTATATCTTTTCTTAGTGCTTGGTTTAATTAATTGTTCGTTAGATTTGTAAAAAATTAACGAACAATTAATAAAATAAACTTTTAATAAAATAAGTAACTATAGTTAGCTATTTGAGTAAAATTTAATAGTAAAATTTTTAAAGAATTTCTAGAATGTTTCTAATGATGTCATAGGAAGTTTTTTTTTTTAACATTCTCTTTAACATGAACACAACATGTCTTGGGACTTGGTAGTCCCTTTAAGGGAAAACAAGAATTCCAATCAAGTCAGATAACAAATGTCACAACTGTTTCATAAAAGTGTTTGTTGAGTTGAAAAGCATAAAGAAAACAGGAAATAGATGCATAGAGAAAACACGTGAAAAGTTCAGGACATCAATAAATTAGCTGTGTGATATTTCAGCATCTAAAGCCTATGAAATATTATGGGAATCCTGAATTATAACTTGGAAAGAGGAGTGGCTCTTCGTACAAAACCAGCGGAAATATCCACAGGTAAACAAAATTACTTATGCAGCTTTTCTATTTTGTTCAAGGTGTACAATATTTACAATTTTCGATCTGTTTTTTTTAAAGGTTGGCCTTTTACCCAAAGCCAACTGGGAGCGAAGATGTTTAAAAGAAAAAGGCATTTAAAAGAAATGCTTCAGGATAACTCGGACTCAATTTCCCACAAAAAATAGATATTATTAAGCTTGAATTTTCTGCAGACAGAGATAACCTGACCCATTGTCAAATAAAAATTGTCTTAAAACAGGACAGCGATTGTCTACAAAAAAATACATTTCCCAGAGAAGATTATCAGGAATTTATTGAATTGGTAATTGTTTATCTTGGGAAGAATTACAAGATTTTTCAGTTCAAAATTTTTCAGTTCAAGAAACCCGATGCTTATCATAGTGCAAGATTTATGCACAATCAACTAAACATTTTTTAATATACATGAGATACCCTAGGTCCTGCTACGTTGACTGAGAGTTTTTGTTTGGGCAATCTATCAATTTAAATATAGATATTATTTTAAGTTTTTGAACTTTTTCCGGTTTTCTAAATTAATTTAAAAAAGCAACAACATAATCTATTATAGCATATATATATATATATATATATATATATATATATATATATATATATATATATATATATATATATATACATATACATATATACTATAGCATGTAAATATATATATACTATAGCATATATATATATACTATAGCATATATATGTATCTACTATAGCATATACACCCTATAGTTTATATCACAAACCTGGCCCAAGCTATTAAACTTTTATCAAACCTGGCTTTGGCCCTGGTTGCTTACTTATAGTATCTGAGGATTGAAACAACATAATGCAAAGCAAAATGTTTATCCATTGTTGATATGTTGGATTTCTTGATAACTGCACTCTTATATGAATAAATTAAAAAATATCAAAAAGTATTTTTGTTATTGCTAAAGCTATTCACAAAAATATTTACGATGTAGCAAGATTATCAAAAAAAATTTGTAAACCTTAATGTTTCCCTATCAAGTTTTGGTAAATAATATAAAATATTTATCATCTTAGAGAAGATTTTCCTAACGTGTGGAAGAACTTTGAAAAGAAGAAAACCACCTTTTTTCACTGTCAAATCATTAAATTTCACTTAATTGTCATGCCAGAGATTAGGGTAGGGGTAACATTTGCTATCAAAGGTTATTATTATAGGGTCTTTTTAGTAGTTCTTCTATTGTTATATTTTGATTTAATAGTATTGTATTCTAATATTTTGATAAAATAACTTTAAATATGAACTTTAAAATAGATATTTTTATACAATTATTTCTAAAATAATTAAATATATTATAAGTTAGTTAAAAAATAAAACGTGTTATATAGTATAAAAAGCATTATTATTTTAGAAGTTGATAAAAGTCGGCATTGTCCTTACCTAGACACAATAAATAGGTAATATTTATTTTAACCTTTTTTTTTGCTATTTCTTACTAATTTGGCTCCTAATAATTTTTTAGTAACATTATTATAAACTATCATAGACTTATTAACCTTATTTAAACTTTTTGGCTAAAACTCTTGAAATAATTTTGTAAAGAAAACTCTTGAAATATTTTTGTGAAGAAAACTCTTGAAATAATTTTGTAAAGAAAACTCTTGAAACAATTTTGTGAAGAAAACTCTTGAAATAATTTTGTAAAGAAAACTCTTGAAACAATTTTGTAAAGAAAACTTTTGAAATAATTTTGTGAAGAAAACTTTTGAAATAATTTTGTGAAGAAAACTTTTGAAATAATTTTGTGAAGAAAACTCTTGAAATAATTTTGTGAAGAAAACTTTTGAAATAATTTTGTGAAGAAAACTCTTGAAATAATTTTGTAAAGAAAACTCTTGAAACAATTTTGTAAAGAAAACTTTTGAAATAATTTTGTGAAGAAAACTTTTGAAATAATTTTGTGAAGAAATCTCTTGAAATAATTTTGTGAAGAAAACTCTTGAAATAATTTTGTAAAGAAAACTCTTGAAACAATTTCGTAAAGAAAACTTTTGAAATAATTTTGTGAAGAAAACTTTTGAAATAATTTTGTGAAGAAAACTCTTGAAATAATTTTGTGAAGAAAACTCTTGAAATAATTTTGTAAAGAAAACTCTTGAAACAATTTTGTAAAGAAAACTTTTGAAATAATTTTGTGAAGAAAACTTTTGAAATAATTTTGTGAAGAAAACTTTTGAAATAATTTTGTGAAGAAAACTCTTGAAATAATTTTGTGAAGAAAACTTTTGAAATAATTTTGTGAAGAAAACTCTTGAAATAATTTTGTAAAGAAAACTCTTGAAACAATTTTGTGAAGAAAACTCTTGAAATAATTTTGTAAAGAAAACTCTTGAAACAATTTTGTAAAGAAAACTTTTGAAATAATTTTGTGAAGAAAACTTTTGAAATAATTTTGTAAAGAAAGCTCTTGAAATAATTTTGTAAAGAAAACTCTTGAAACAATTTTGTGAAGAAAACTCTTGAAATAATTTTGTAAAGAAAACTCTTGAAACAATTTTGTAAAGAAAACTTTTGAAATAATTTTGTGAAGAAAACTTTTGAAATAATTTTGTAAAGAAAGCTCTTGAAATAATTTTGTAAAGAAAACTCTTGAAACAATTTTGTGAAGAAAACTCTTGAAATAATTTTGTAAAGAAAACTCTTGAAACAATTTTGTAAAGAAAACTTTTGAAATAATTTTGTGAAGAAAACTTTTGAAATAATTTTGTGAAGAAAACTTTTGAAATAATTTTGTGAAGAAAACTCTTGAAATAATTTTGTGAAGAAAACTTTTGAAATAATTTTGTGAAGAAAACTCTTGAAATAATTTTGTAAAGAAAACTCTTGAAACAATTTTGTAAAGAAAACTTTTGAAATAATTTTGTGAAGAAAACTTTTGAAATAATTTTGTGAAGAAAACTCTTGAAATAATTTTGTAAAGAAAACTCTTGAAACAATTTTGTAAAGAAAACTTTTGAAATAATTTTGTGAAGAAAACTTTTGAAATAATTTTGTGAAGAAAACTTTTGAAATAATTTTGTGAAGAAAACTCTTGAAATAATTTTGTGAAGAAAACTTTTGAAATAATTTTGTGAAGAAAACTCTTGAAATAATTTTGTAAAGAAAACTCTTGAAACAATTTTGTAAAGAAAACTTTTGAAATAATTTTGTGAAGAAAACTTTTGAAATAATTTTGTGAAGAAAACTCTTGAAATAATTTTGTGAAGAAAACTCTTGAAATAATTTTGTAAAGAAAACTCTTGAAACAATTTTGTAAAGAAAACTTTTGAAATAATTTTGTGAAAAAAACTTTTGAAATAATTTTGTGAAGAAAACTCTTGAAATAATTTTGTGAAGAAAACTCTTGAAATAATTTTGTAAAGAAAACTCTTGAAATAATTTTGTGAAGAAAACTCTTGAAATAATTTTGTAAAGAAAACTCTTGAAACAATTTTGTGAAGAAAACTTTTGAAATAATTTTGTAAAGAAAACTCTTGAAACAATTTTGTAAAGAAAACTCTTGAAACAATTTTGTGGAGAAAACTCTTGAGCTTTTCTTCTTAGCCAGTATTACTAGTTTTTGTGTCAAAGCAAAGGAATCCTGAAAAATTTAGGATTTAAAGTTTTAGTCAAACCATCCCACCCACTTGCAAGAATGGCAACATGTTCTTCTTTTTTCAGTCCTTTTTATATATTTTTATATAGCTAGATCAATTTGATCCACCTAAATTTCAACTTATAAAGTTTGAACCTGTAGTTGTTTGTCACAAAAAGCTTTATTATTTCAGCCACTGTGAGCCCCATGCTACAGTGGCTGGTCACCCTTCATCTTCTAGGATTAACTCTTACTTGTGATCTCTCTTGGAAACCATATATCAAATCTGTTCCAAAATTAGCATCTGCTAAAGTTGCATCTCTTTATTGAGCTCAACACTTTCTTACTCTGGATTCTATTCTCTATCTCTATAAATCTCAAATCCGGCCTTGTATGGAATACTGTTGCCATATCTGGGGCGGATTTTCTTATGATGCCCTTTCTCTTTTAGACAAGGTACAAAATGCATTGTAAACATAGTTGGACCTGCTCTTGCAGCAAACCTTCAACCATTATCACATCATCGTAATGTTGCTTCTCTTTCTCTTTTCTGCAAATACTATGATGGACACTGCTCTAAAGAATTAGCGTCTCTTGTGCCATCTACTAAAATTTATTCTTGTGTTACTTGTCATTCAATTAAGTCTCATCCATTTTCTGTGACTGTTCCTAAGTGCTCCAAAAACTCTTATTCCTCTAGTTTTTTTCTTTGAACATCAGTTCTTTGGAATTTGCTTCCTTCATCTTGCTTTCCTGATTTATATAATTTGCAATCATTTAAGTCGTCTGTCAATAGTTATCTTGCTCTACAATTTTCATCTTCTCTCTTCCAGTAACTTCCAAATTTTCCAAAATTTTGATGATTAAATTATGCCAATAATCACTCAAATAAATTCTAATTTATATAATCAGTGTTCTTTTGTTAAACAGCTGAAACTATTGAAGTATATTGAATTATTGAATAGTTGCCTTAACACTTTTCTAGCTTTTATTTCTCTAATCAGTTTTTATGTGAAAAGAACAAATACACTGAGCACAAGGTACAAATTAAAGAATACGTTTAACTGAATATATTTATAGAGTTATTTTTGTGAGATATAAAAATTTGTTGTATCACTTTATACACAATACTGTATCAGTATTGGTCTAAAAATGGTTTCACTTTCATTTATTTATAGTAAAAAAATCTTTAGTTATATATTTACTCGTTAATATAATATTTTCATTTTTTTTTTTTTTTTTTTAATTTGTCAAAATGAATATAAACACAAATAAAATTTATGAAAAAATATTTTAAGGTCAGTTTTAGATTTTGACTTTGAGAAGCTTTGTTCTGTATCATTATCACACCTGAATGTTTATGCTTGCCTTGTTTGTGGAAAGTATTTCCAAGGTTTGTTCAACATTTATTTTAGTAAATGTTATTTTCTTTTTTTATCTTAATTATATATATATATATATATATATATATATATATATATATATATATATATATATATATATATATATATATATATATATATATATATATAGATACATATATTCTTATCTCATAGTCAAAAGAGCTTTTTAATGTAAAAAACATATATATATATATATATATATATATATATATTATATATATATATATATATATATATATATATATATATATACTTATCTTATAGTCGAAAGAGCCTTTTAATGTAAAAAAAGTCTCTTTCAACTACAATTTTGCTATCTCGACAGTTAAGCTACATTTTATTGTTGTCAAAATGTCAAAGCAATTAAATTAATGCATTACATTAATTTTTTTTTTTTTTTTAAACCCCAATAATAATGACTAGAAATTTTTTAGTGGTGTTTTTGTTTTATTAAAATAAATTATTATAACATGTGCGAAGTGTTGCTACATCAACTATCTCATAGCCTGCTGCTACAAGGGAGTGTTGCTACATTGACTATCTTATAGCCTAACTTGCAACAGAGTGTTGCTATATCAACTATCTTATAGCCTGATTTGCAATGGAATGCTGCTACATTGTCTGCGGGTTTGGTTTGGGCAGGCAGTCTATCATTTAAGAAGAAAAAAAGTTATTTTATTTCTGTGGATTTCGATTGGTTTTAATTATATATATATATATATATATATATATATATATATATATATATATATATATATATATATATATATATATATATATATATATATATATATATATATATATATATATATATATATATATATATATATATATAATTAAACTGAAAAACATGTTGTATAAAAGGTATTTATAGTAAAACATAAATGACTGAAAAACAAAAATGACCCAAGTAAAAGTAAACAAAAATGACCCGAGTCTGTTTTTAAAATTTTAAATGGTTATAAAAAGTAACATGTATGTTTTACTATAACTATCTTTTATACAACATGTATCTTTTAAAAACATGTTGTGTAAAAGGTAGTTATAGTAAAACATACATGACTGAAAAACAAAAATGACCCAAGTAAAAATAAACAAAAATGACCTGAGTCTGTTTTTAAAATTTTAAAGGGTTATAAAAAGTAACATGTATGTTTTACTATAACTATCTTTTATACAACATGTATCTTTTAAAAACATGTTGTGTAAAAGGTAGTTATAGTAAAACATACATGACTGAAAAACAAAAATGACCTGAGTCTGTTTTTAAAATTTTAAAGGGTTATAAAAAGTAACATGTATGTTTTAATATAACTATCTTTTATACAACATGTTTTTCAACGCAATGACTTCATGAAAAACTGTAGTCATTTATATTGTCTGAACTATATATATATATATATATATATATATATATATATATATATATATATATATATATATATATATATATATATATATATATATATATATATATATATATATATATATATATATATATATATATATATATATATATATATATATATATATATATATATATATATATATATATATATATATATATATATATATATATATATATATATATATATATATATATATATATATATATATATATATATATATATTTAAACAATTTAAAAAAAAATGTATTCTATAAAATAAAGTGCTCAATGTTCTTAAAAGAACAGAGCAATTACAAATTAGTAGAAAATCACTTAACAAAGTTTTTTTTCATTTTACACTGTGTTTCATCAACAAAGACTCATCAGAAAATTTCTAATCAGATTTCTGATGAGTCTTTGTTGATGAAACACAGTGTAAAATGAAAAAAAATTTTGTTAAGTGATTTTCTACTAATTTATATATATTTATATATATATATATATATATATATATATATATATATATATATATATATATATATATATATATATATATATTTATATATATATATATATTTATATATATATATATATATATATATAACAGAGTTGCAAAAAAAACCGGTTTTTTTCGAAAAAAACTAAAAACCATAGGTTTTTTTAAAAAAACAAAAAAACCATGGTTTTTTTGGTTTAAATTAGGTTTTTACTAAAAAATGCAGTATTTAGTTATTCTTTTAAATTAAAAAAAGCATAAAGTATTTTATTTGAGTAAACTCAATACTATAAAAGTTGTCTTTGATGGACAGCACTCTTCTTATTCTGTAACCTCAGGCTCCTCAAGGTTCAATCCTTGGCCCTAGCATCTGCTAAAGTCGCTTCTCTTTATCGAGCTCGTCACTTTCTTACTTTGGATTCTATTCTCTATCTCTATAAATCTCAAATCCGGCCTTGTATGGAATACTGTTGGCATATCTGGGGTGGATCTTCTAATGATGCCCTTTCTCTTTTAGACATGGTGCGAAAACGCATTGTAAACATAGTTGGACCTGGTCTTGCAGCCAACGTTCAACCTCTTTTACATCGTCGTAATGTTGCTTCTCTTTCACTTTTCTACAAATACTATAATGGGCACTGCTCTAAAGAGCTAGCGTCTCTTGTGTCATCTACTAAAATTCATTCTCGTGTTACTTGTCATTCAATGTCTCATCCTTTTTCTGTTACTGTTCCTAAGTGCTCCAAAAACTCTTATTCGTCTAGTTATTTTCCTCGAACATCAGTTCTTTGGAATTTGCTTCCTTCATCTTGCTATCCTGATTCATATAATTTGCAATCTTTTAAGTTGTCTGTCAATTGTTATCTTACTCTACAATCTTCATCTTTTCTCTTCCAGTAACTTCCAACACTAATTAGTGGTTGCTTGCAGCCTTGTTGGAAGCGAAGATGTTAAAAAAAAAAACAATATTATATATCAATATTATTGTTATATTTCATCAAAATTATTTAATATATCATTGTTTAATGTTCTATATATAAATACAAGCTTTGCTGCTTTTCCTACCCCTTATTGGTTTCTTAACTTAGACTGAACAAGACCAAAAGTTAAAAAAATTCTTTCAATTCCAGCACTAGAAGCTGGTGGATTTAATAAACCTTCAATATCCATTATGTTATAGCAGATTTGGCTTTTAATTTGAACAATATTGGTAACAAGTTTTTGAACTCTTTATCTGCAAAATTCATGGCAGCTTCATTTTCTTATCAGATTTAATCAGAAAGATTATATCCAAAATATCTAGGATCTAGTGTGTTTACCAAAAAATAAGCATCACTGACAGTCTGACGGTATATAGATTCAATTTTTTTTTGTTTGATAATAATGATAAACTGTTCATCAAATCTTTAAGAATTTCAAGTGTCACTTATTATTGTTTGATCTCTTTGCAACTTATCTAGAGCTACTGCAATTGGTTTCAATATTTTCAATAAATCTTCTGTGTTTTTGCTTTATCTTTATATCACTTACTTTTTATTATTATACCAATCATGGGATCCAAGTCTTTATTTTTTTCAAACATTGTAAAAATAATGTTCCAGTTGTTGACATTTTTCAAGTGAATCACATACAGAATTCCAGCTAGTTTCAGTAGGAAGTAGCAATTTTGTTCCTCCGCCTAATTTATAAATTGTTTCAGCTTGATGATTATTTCTTATATATTTTATTATTTGTGTAATATGCTTGCTCACATTTTCAATGTTCAGATTATTTGCTAAAAGATTCAGCATATAAGCAGCACACCCATAAGTTATAATAATATCTCTTTCAGATGACAGTACTTGTCTCATTGATTTCATATTAGCTGCATTGTCAGTTACAAAGCTTTTTACTGTGCATCCAAATTTTTCTTACAAAATCAATTGCTTCTCTTGCTAATTGTGTAAGATATTCACCAGTACGTGAATGATTAGAAGTGTTAATTGTTTCTACTAAAATGTTAATTTTATCTGTAATTACAGAGATACAAACTATAGGTTCATTATGTACATTACTCCAGCCATCTAAAGACATGGCTGCAACTTTCCCATTCAATACATTACATTTTTCAATTTCTTCTGTGTAAACAATATCTAATATTTCTCCTCCAATTTGAGTTCTATTAGGTAGAGTGTATCCTGGATAAAGCATATTGATAAATAAAAAAAAAATCATGGATTTAAAAAAGTATATCTATATTGAAGATTAGTTGTATTTTTGAACATAACCCTGTCTTAGTTTCCTGTTGTAAATTCAAATTAAAAAAAAACAACATGAGTTTGGTTTAAACCAATATTTTTTTAATTGGTTTAAACCATGGTTTAAACCATGCAACCCTGATATATATATATATATATATATATATATATATATATATATATATATATATATATATATATATATATATATATATATATATATATATATATATATATATAATTTAAAAATTATTTAAGGATATAATACCATAAAATTTTATAAAAAAATAACTTTCTACAATATAAATTTAAAAATACAAATAAATAATAAAATAAAATAAATATAGTTCTAAATATTCAAAGTAAAAATATAATATTTATAACAAAATTAAGCATACCAAAATAAAGCATTTTTAAAATTTTTTTTTTCTAAATTTGAAAAAACTTTTCTTTTTTTGTATTACTGAGTTATTATTCAAATAATATTCAAATAAATCCACTATATATATATATATATATATATATATATATATATATATATATATATATATATATATATATATATATATATATATTATATATATCAACTCGTTTTTCAGCGCAGCGACCTTGTTCATCAAGGTTCGTGTTTCGGAGTTATAGAGTTGAGAGAGCGTTATAACCACAAATAAGTAGCCTCTTTGTCTGAGGAGGTGAATTAAATTAAAATATATATATATATATATATTATTTCTATGGATTTAGGTTGGAAAGTGTCTGGGTTAATTCAGCATATAAGAGTTAAAGTGAACAGAATATATTAGTACTCTACTGATCTAAATCTTATATATATATATATATATATATATATATATATATATATATATATATATATATATATATATATATATATATATATATATATATATATATATATATATATGTATATAGGGCTTAAGTACATACATCGACTGACTTTATGCAAAGAGTGCCACTACATTAAATTAGAATTTAATTTGAATTAGCAATTTCCTTTTCCATTTTTCTTTATTATTTTTTTTTTTCTGAATAAGCCGTTTAGAATCAAGTGTCCAAAAAAGATAATTGTATATCTATATACGCTATAGTAGATATACATATGTATACCTTTTTACATATACCAAGGTGTTTTTTGCATCTTTTGGGCTTTTTTTCATATCATGATATGATCTCACTAAAATCCTAATCTCTTACTTCTTCTACTATAGTAGTGACTGACATAATGCTGACTGGGATTCCTTTTGTGGTTTTCCTTGCGATGGTTATAGGGCTTCTTTCTTACTTCTCTCTGCTGAAAATTGTACTCCTTTATAAGCTCCTAGATTCAGGCATTTATTAGAGTTTGTTGGTTTCAATTCATGCCTCAGTTTTCCACGTCGTTTTCTTTTCTTTATGCAGTTGCTATTTCTTATTGTAATGATTTCTTTCATCTTTTCCAAAAGAATAACTTTCTAAAGAACAAACATTTTTTGTTTATTGCAAGAAATCGATTCAATAAAGTTTTTAGTGGTTTTTGTCTGAAAATATTTAATGTCATTAACAAAGCTAAGTCAAACATTTTGTCACTTATACATGGGTCTGTTCTTATACCTCTCCCAAGGATAAGGCACACCTTGGAGAGATATAAGTTTTCACAGTTTTCTTATTATTCCAAAGAATCAGGTTAATCCATTTTAGACATTAAAAGCGCCTTGTTGGACTTGCAATATTGGTTATATTTTTATATTGATGCATGGCACTCTTTTTTTTTTAATGTAAATTCACATCCCCAAGGTCAAGAAGGCCATTACAGACGAGGAGGCTGCTGAATTGTAGTTATAACCAGGGCTGTGGAGTCAGAGATGCGGAGTTGTGACATTTTTAGCGGAGTCGGAGTTGTTAAACAAAATCGCGACTCCGACTCCGTGCAATACCGAGAAGTTTTACAATAGTAAAACTTCTCGGTATTGCATGTGCATGTATAAAACATTCAATTAACCTTATATTTATACTAAACCTTAAAGAACGTTTCATAAATTTGTCAAAAAACTTTTTTTTAACTTATCGAATAATATTTTTAAAAAAATTTAAAGAATTTTTCAAAAATTTTGCTTTTGAGTCGGAGTCGGAGTTATACTCTAAAAATTTTAACAACTGGAGTCAGAGTCGGAGTTGTTATTTTTTTTTTACGACTCCATTCCCCTGGTTATAACCCTCTCTCAACTCTATAACTTTGAAACATGTACCTTGACAAACAAGGTTGCTGCACAGAGAAACAAGTTGAGCGTGGTACTACCAGGGACGTGGTAAGGATAAAACTCAGAATCTCTACCACTGCACCACTATCTCATTCCGCACACTTTTACTGAGTCCTTTACTCTACCTCTTCTATGAGTAATCCTTCACTACTGACCTCATATGGAAGTTGTATATACAATCAATTGCAAAATTAACACCTATTTTTTTTGTGATTGCCATTTTCTTACTAATAATTCCATTCTCTACCTCTATGAATCTCTTACTCGTCTTTTTATAAACTATTTGGTTTTACTGAATGAGACTCTCTTACTTTTAGACTTTGCCAAAATCTCGTTGTTAATATTGTTGGGTCTGCTATAATTTTTATAGTTTTATTTTTAATTCATTCTCAGGGAGGCTACAAGGCTACCACTATTTAAGTTAATAACAGAAAATAAGAATGTAACCTAAAGAGCAAGAAGTGATTGACAGAAGTCTTAAAAAACTGTAAGTGTCAGAAATGCATGAAGACAGGAAAGACTTCCATAGCACTAATGTTCACTGGTAAAAACAGATTAACAGAATTTGATCATAAAGTTAATCAAAAAAGATAAAAAATCTCTTTTTCTTTACTACAGATACTATCATTTTTGTTGCATAAGTTAGTTATCATCTTTTTTCCATCAACCAAAACTCAATTATTCATGAGTCATAAATTAGCAAAGTTGCATCTTTTTACTGTAACCAAGTGATTATTATTATTATTATTTTTATTTATAAAAATCTTTTTAGCTAAATTTATTTTTTCATATTATGGTCTCAAAATTAAGTTTAAAATTTTTTTATAATATAATTATATAAAAATGTTTTAGGTCGTGGTAATAATTCTCATGCATATACGCACAGTGTTCATCTTGGACATCATGTTTATTTAAACTTACATACTCTCAAGGTAACATTTGTTTTATAACATTTTAGTTTAATAATATTAATTTCAAATGTTATTAAAAAAATTAATTTAAAAAAAATATTTTTTTGATATAAAATTTAATTTTATCTATTTTAATAAAAATGAAAACATTACTTAATAGAGTCATGGCTCAAATTAAGCGTATTGCAAATCGCAATTACTTTTTACATCTTCGCAATTAGTTTTTTTTAAAAAAAAATATTTTTATGTTTTGCTTTTTTTTTTTTTTTTTTTTTTGTCAATATTTTTCTCCTTTCTAGTTTAGCATTTTTTTGTCCATTCTTAAAAGTATAGAATACCTAAAGTTTTTTATTAGAGGTCATAAAGTATGCCATGCTAAATTTATCTTTTGAATAGAAGTATGATCATTTGCTCTCTGTGACATAGCGAGGATAGGAACAATGTTTTATTTAAATCGTAAACATTTTGAATAAATTTTTGTTTCCTGAAAATAGTTTTAAAAGATTCTATTGCTAACATTAAACCAGTGGTTGTTGCAAACATTAACCCAAAAATTAATTAAAAAAAAAATTTGAATTAAAAAAAATTATTTTACCTTTACTGTTCAAATAAATTTTTAAAAAAATAATAATAATTTAAGCATATACTTAAACTTAAGGAAATATTCAATTTATTCAATCAAATTTTTTTTCTTTTACTTTTTATTGCAAAACAATTTAAACAAAAAAATTGATTGGAAACATTCACTTAAAAACCTTTTGAATAAAAAAACTAATTATACTTAAATTTTTAATAGTACGCTAGATCAAGAATGAAAAATGTGGTATCTAATGTTTTTTTTATTTTGGTCTATAGATATAGCATGTTTTTGCGCAAATATGAAGTTAAAGTTTTATGACAATAATTTTTTTAATTCATAATTTAAAACCATTCTATTTATTTACTTTGTTTTATTTTATACATATTTTATATTAACGTAAGCTCTTTATATTTACAAAACAACTTTGCAGTATTGTTTTACTGTTGTTTTATAGCTTTTTACAATAACAATTTAATACTCTTTAAAAATAAAAAGTGTTTTATTGTCAACATATACTCTGTGTAGTTAAGGCAATTTATAAATATTAAAGCATCTGTATAATATTTTGCTGACTACAACATATTTCCGTTAAGTGATCAGGTCTGTGAGTTATGAAAAGACAAAAAAATTAAAATGATAAATATCACTGTAACATAAAATAAAAATGTTTGTAGCAAAAAAAAAAAAATCTAACTAAAGATTTTTTTTTTTAAAAAAAAACTTCTTAAAATCAAGATTGCTTGTCCAAATTTCAATAAGATTTTAAATAAGTACGTTTTTTAGGTGAAACGTACATTATAGTTTGATAATATGATCTGTTCTGATTGTTTATTGGCAATTTTTCTTAATTATAAGCTTTTTCTTAGTCAAAACTATTTTTTTAGTAGAAATGTTGTGTTTTGACAATTATATTCAATTAATATGTACTAGAACGAAATATAGCTAGGATCTATAGTTAAGTAATTCCGTTTTACAAAAATTTTAAATTAAAATTAAGTTAACGCTGTTAAGCAGAATTGAACTAAAGACTCAAAAATGGTGTTGTTTAGATTCACAATTAGGGGTAATAAAAAAGTTTTGAAAATTATATAAAAAAAAAAAGTTTCTTTGAAACCTTATAAAAATCTGAAGGAAAACATTTATAGCATCTAAAGCTCTTGTTTATTTAAAAACTTTAAAGCTCTTGTTTATTTAAATATAAAATTCGCCATGGACACGCAAATGTCCTCTGTAATAGAATTTATAATTGTTTTTGGAAAGATCGATTGACAGTTGTAGCAGTTGTTTAGCCATTTATAGGCTTTTGTTAAATCTCCACGGATTATTCTGACTTCATGATTGTCATATTAATTTTTGATATTTTTGGGTGATATGTAAGACTTTAATGATTTTAATTCATTCAACTATTTTAGTTCTGAGTATTGTTTCAACTTGTCATTTGTCTTTAAGTAGACAAGGGTTATATACAAATCCACAATATTTTAAATATGATCAAACTAGTGCTGAAAATAATCTTTTAAAACAAAATAAATTTCGATAAGAGAAGGACCTTTTTATTAGAAATAGCATTCACATTGCTTTATTCACTTGTTTGGTGTTATGTTTAGAGAATATTAAGTTATTATCATTATGTATTCCGAGGTCAGTTTTTGAGTTAGTAGATTTGATGTCTATTTTTGTTTTCATCACTGGATCGCGATTAGAATAGACATGATATTTGTTTTTGTAGCCTAGATGTAGAACTGAACATTTTTTTACATTAAATTTCATCCCCCATTTAGTTGCCGAGTCAACCAAGGTAACAAATTCATTTTGAAGTATGGTCTGTGAATGCTTATTAGCAAAAAAACTGCTGCATTAGAAGTAATTATATTGAGAATATCATTAATGTATATAATGAATAATAGAGCTGAGAGAAAAGAACCTTAGGGAACTCTGCTTTTTACTGGTACCCAATCAAAGTAATTACCATTTATCAAGGCTTTTAGTTTCAAACAAAGATGCTCATGTAGGACTTTATCAAATGCTTTTTCTAAATTAAGATAAACATTATCTATAGGGAGACCTTATTAAGATCTTCCCATAGATAATGGGAGATCTAAATTAAGTGCCCATGCATTGATTGTTGTAAGAAGGTTTCACACGAGTACCCTTACTAGTAGTAAAAAACTTTGTTGACTAGGAGCAGATTATTTTTTAACAGATGCGTAAAAATATGTTTTTGTATTATTTTTTTAAAATATTTTTATTATTGGTTTGTAACTAGTTTCTTGTCTCCTGTTTTGAAAATTGGTTTAATACTTGCATCCTTCAATATTTGGAGATTTCTTTTAATATTCTGGGATGTATCTCATCTGAGTCCGGTGATTTAAATGACTTTATAGAAAGATGAGATTCAATGTTTTCAGGAGATAGATCAAGGTCATAAGAGAGTTGACTGGGACAAACAGAAGTTAAGTTAAAACTTGGAACAATCAATGTATCATAATCAGAAAAAAAGCTTTAGGATTTTAATTGATATTTTTAGCAAATTCTTTTTCAAAATTTACTATAGCATTTCTGTATTAGTTCTGTTATGTGCTCGGCAATAATCATAATATGTTTTACCATTCCGTTTATGAATGTAAAGGTGGTGATGACTTTTTCCAATTGGAGCAAGATGGATTATTGGTGAAACTATATTTTCCATGGATGTTGTTATTGGATCGATAGTAGTTGGATATTGGTTCTTTCTAAAGTAGGCTGGTTTAGGTATATGTTGCATGAGAAAACAATTGTGGATTGAATCAATGAATTTTAAGGATTTTGATGAGCGAGATGTAGGGTTTTCTTTTTTATTAGATCTGTTATATCTAGTTATATCTGGGTAGTTAATTTTCAACTATAAGGATGATTGTGTATTTTTCAAAAAGATTAGTTATGTGTTGATTTATATAATTATTGTTTTTCTCATTGTTATTTGAAGATCTATAGAATGTTGTTATTAATAGCTTAGGATTTTTTGTTTGAATCTCACAACTAGTTGATTATGATGCAATTGTATCAAAGCTTTCCAATGACGATTTTAACGATATATGTGCAAATATTGTTATATCTCTCTGACATGATTTATTATTGTGATTTGTTAGTGTAATGTAATTTTCTATAGTTATTTCTTGGTCATCACATTTTGATTGGCAACGTTTCAGTAGGATAAAGAGATGTGGTTTAAGTTTTTGAACTATGAAATTTAGTTCTTGGTATTTTTTCAAAATTGATTATTATGCTCTGGACATTTCTAAGGCTTCAATAAAGTTTGGCATGCTGGTTTTCTCCATAAGCTTGTTTTATATAATATATCTAGGAAAGTTTTTGAGATGTTATCTTGGAAAGAATATATTATCTGATTATATTATTTGGGAAAGATTTTGAGATCGTTTCTTTCTAACCGCTTTATTAAAGTCATCCTTGAAGGCAAACACTTCTTTATTTCAAGTAATTTCTCTTATTGGGAATTTATGAGTCTCAATACAAAATACTCATTTTCAATGCATACTCCCAATAGTTTTTTTCATACAAACTAAATTTTGTTTTTTTTATTAAATTTTTTTTACCAAAAACAATTTAGTTGAAATGAATATCCGCGTCAAATTTTTTTATAAAGTCATTGCCAGGAAAAAAGTAAAATGTAACTGCAACATAATAACTGCTTCAGTGTATAAATGCATTGTTTCAATGTTTAAATGCGTTGTTTCAATGTTTAAATGTGTTGTTTCAATGTTTAAATGCAACGTTTCAATGTTTAAATGTGTTGTTTCACTGTTTAAAGGCATTGTTTCAATGTTTAAATGCGTTGTTTCAATGTTTAAATGCGTTGTTTCAATGTTTAAATAGTTCAACAAAGCATATTTAATTCAAAAACTTTAAATAAAACACATGTTAAAAAGAGTAATTTAAATAATTGATATAACTGTTGTCAACAGTAATAGTTACAAACTAATTTAAAATATCATTTCTTTGACATATTCTACATTATAATACATGCAGCATATAAATATGTGAAAAATGCCTAAATTGCTCATCCATTTTTGTAGAGATTGTAAAGAAAGGTAGCTGAAAAAAATAGAAAAAGAACAAAGTATTATTTGCAGTCAAAAAAAAAAACGCCAGAGCAAGATTTGAAAAGGAGCTTGCTAAATGCAACAGTGTAAACACAGAGATCTTCAAAAAGCTCAATATATTATTGATATTCCTAGTTCTTCTTTTAGAAGAAGTTTATCATTCGAGTTCATCAGAAGCTCATACACAAACCATGTTCAATTAAATTGACCAAACTCACTATAAAAAGCAGATTAAACATTAAACAGTTAGCAATAAAAATAAATAACTCTTTACTATATATTAAATATAAAAATAAAAAATGGCTCCATTTATCTTTTAGTGTATTCAATCATGTACTGGCGTTTTTTAACCGCAAAGAATTATTTTAATAGATTCCAAGTATGAAAGACTTTCTAAAAATTGGTGGTGAAAAATTAAAAAAATGTTACTAAATTAAGAAAATGTTGTACCCTGTTCAACATAAGAAATTGGTAGCAAAATATAATTTTTCAAATTTTATTTGGCAAAATTATAAGAATTAGCAGGGTTTAATTGCTGGGGTTAAAAAAAGTTTATAATTACATTTACTATTCATTAAATACTGCCATTTATATATTTTAAAATTCTAATTTATTTCCAACAAGATTACAAGCTCCCATTATTAAGTTAAAATAGAGAATTAGTTAAAATACTAGGAAACGCATAACTGAAGACTTAAAAAGTTGTAAGTTGTATAAAAAAGAAAACATAAAGATGGATAAGAGTTATTGGTTTTTTGATGTTCAAGGTAAAAAACTGGATAAACAAGGTAAAAAAGTTTTATAGCATGAAGGGTCAGATACAGTAAAGTATGCAACTTGTTGAATAAATAGCCCAGCAAGAATAAATTTTTGTTTATCGTTATAGAGATGATAGCTCGTTTGAGGGTTGACTATGATTGTATTTGTAGAAAAAAAGAAAGGCAACCTTTGAACAATGGGAGAGTGGCTCAGGCTTGGCAATTAAAAAGAGTGGTTCTAAGCAATTAAAAAGTGAAGATTTTTTCTTAAGACAAGAGTATAAAGTTGAGTCGTCAGCAAATAGAGCCACTTTAGATTTCATGAAGATTGTTATTGTAGATAAGAAACAATACAGGAGCAAAGATAGAACTTGTGGAATCCTCAAAGTTTCTTGAAATAAAGGAGAGTGTAGTCCTTCAAGAATAACTTTACTAATGTAGTTTGAAAGAAATAATTTAATAACCTCAACACCTTTATATAAAGAAACTAATAACAGAGTGAAGGTTAATTCTAGGGTAGTTGGAGAGGTCAAAGTGTTTTCTAGAGTTTTGAAAAATTGGAGTCACTTATTTAGCACTTTTTAAAAGTTTAGCAAAAATTGAAGAGAGTTCTGGCGAACACTTTTTTAAGAGTATGATGGAAATCTTGTCTTGAGCACAAACTGTAGAACTGTTTGATTGAGAATTAACTTTAGCATTGAAAGCCAGAGTGATTGCAATGTTTAACAATCGAGTAATCTGTTTAACTGTCAGGAAGAATATGGCCATTATATTATTATATTCAAGAGTCGATTTCTTTGCAAATAACTATTTTATTCTGGGGAGAAGTAAAAAGATCGGAACCATCAATAAGAGATAAATTTTTAGACTTGCTTTAATGACATTGTTGAAGACTAACCAAAAGCCTTTTGAACCTAACATTTGAGATATTTTATCAAGATTTAGTAAAATGAGATTAAGAGAGCTTAACATCAGACAGGACTTTTTTACATTGGCTTCTTGCAATAATAAAAGGACATTTGTTCTTGAGAGAGTTTCGTATAAAAAAAATTAAGAAAATGATTAATGTTTAATAAAGCAACCACTCAAGATGGTGAAATATGCAAATGTGGAGTAGAATGGCTTGACTTAAAATTGAAAAAAAGTAAAGCTTCCAAACTTATATTAAAAATTATATAAAAAATATTGTCAAATATTTAATTCCAGAAAGAATAAAAGTTCTTTCAAGATGCACTTTATGCATACATATTATGGATATAAACATATATGTTTACTATTTATTTAGATGATGTCATACAATGTACTTTCATTGTTTTATTAACTTTAGTATTTATACGATGTAGTATTGCCAAAAGAGAAGATGATCAGATGGAAGTGTGGTGTGACTCTAGCAAGACAAGAAAATGAGGCATAATCTTAGACAGATTAGAAAAAACATTATATCGAACATTGTTTGTTAGAAAAGATTAAAATAATTTAGGTATCAGCATGTAGAGAGTTAGTAGCTTCAGTATAAAATGGTAGTGGTAGAATTTAAAAAATTTTAAGATAGTACCTTACATATTGTATGAATGAGCTTTAGTTAGGAAAAAAAATGCTCTTGATTGTTTATATTAGGATATGCCATAAAAGAAGAATGCTAAAGCTTGGTGATGATGATCATGATGATCATGATGATGATGATCATGATGATAATGATGATGATTATGATAATCATGTTGATCATAATGTTTTTTATATGTGCATATATATACTTACAAAATATAACATGAATTTTGATTTAAAAAAATATACTTTAATATGTATAAATGTTTATGCAGTCCCGGTCACAATCCCGGCCTCGGCTATATTTTATCAAACCCGGCCCCGGCCCCAGTCAAATATCAACCCTAGTCACTTAATTAACATATACAGAGTGAAAATGCTACCTCAATTCCAGATTAATTATTTAATTAAATGTCACCAAGCATATGCGTCTTAGCTTCTAGAAATTTTTTGATGGTGAACTAATAATACACTTATATTTACTACATTGTAGAATAAAAAGTAGAATAGAATGTACATTTAATTGCTAAATAACTGATTTCAGCCAAAAACTGTATTCATCAAGAACTAGTTTCTAAAGTACTTTCTACTGACTTTTTTGGTTTCAAATTGTGAATTTCAAGTGGAATTTTTTTGCTAAAACCCATGATAAAGGAGTTATTGATGGGGAAGGAGTAACTTTGAAAAGGATGGCATGGCAAAAAGTTAAAGCAAGACAAGTAATTTTCTACTATATGCAAAGATTTGATGGTATCTTTTTTTTGATATTTTTTTATTAGCAGAAAAAGTTAAAGACATACAACTTTACTATTTCTGGAGACTTAACTATTTCTGGAGAGATTTTTAGCATAAAAAGAATATCACCACTATCAAGCGAATAACACAGCAAACAATCTTTATTTAATATATTAACCTGCTAAGTTGATTTAAATATGTCTTAAATAAAATTAAATTTTTTAGTTTCCTTAGGATAACTAAAAGAAGAGTAGGGTGGGGTAATTTGGGTCTACGGGGTAATCTGGATCTAATTCATATTTATCTGTTATATTGATAATGGCTTTAGATTTAAAGTTGTAATATTTACCACTTTGTTATAACATATTTGGCTAATTAATTTTAAAATATAACCTAGCTATGCTGTTAGAAACAGCACTTTTTTTAGCTAAAATGCTAAATACATCAACAAAGTCTTTTTCTCGGTTTACTATATTTTAAGGATAGTAAGACATTAACGCACATGGTTTGTTTAAAATTTGAAATATAATTAGGTGGGGTAAAGTGGGTCTATGTATGTATAATATTATGATATGTAATTATCTTATTGAAGTTGTTGTTAATAACATTATAAATCTATTAGTTTCATCAGACCTAACTATTTTCGTGTTAATAATTCTTTAGAACTATTAAACACTTATGTTTGAAGTTTATATCTTTGAAATTTTTCTTAAGAAACTTTATATAAAGAAATATTTGTATGAAACAATATGTTTACCTAAGTCAAATAAAATATTATATTAGACCTATTTGGTGTCAAAATTTTTTGTCAGAGACTCTCTCCAGCAAATGCTATAGCAGAATTTTGTCGTACAGGTATCTCACCATTAAGTAAAGAAAAGATGGAAAGAAGAATAACTGGTATTGAGTTTCTCAATCAATCACCTAAACATTATAGCCCTAAATCTCCAAGATTACAAACACCAAGATCAGCTATGTGAGAAGCTTTAAGGTCAATCATATGTCCTAATGTATCTGCAAGAATAGAACAACAAAAGCAAAAAAGCAACAGAGTACAAACAAAATGTGGAGAATTCCTTACAAATGAGAAAGTTAAACGGCGGTTACTATAAATGAGAAAGTCAAACGACGGAACAAAAAATCAGAGAGGAAAAAAACCAAGTTAAAAATGTATAAAAAAAACCTACTACTGATTTAAAAATTACCTCTACTGAAGTATCAAAGAAATACCCAAAAAGATCTAAGTGCCCAAAATAGCATGAATGTTACCATAAAAGTGCAGTGATCAAAAAAATAGTTATTATTTATAAAACACATTAAAACATTAATATTTCTGTTTTAATTAAATTAAAACAGAAATATTAAAATTACCATTTTTTTACTTTTATTTCTCCAAGTTTTTAATTTTTCTTGTATTTTTTATCCTATTTAAAGTGTTTATATATTTTTAAAAACTTATTATTTGCTAAAATATACCTTGAAATACCTAAATTGTAAGGTTATCTGATAGTACAATATTTAGCAAATGACTTTTTGCTATCTACCCTTTTATGTAAAACATGAACAAAAAATAAAATATAATTATAATATATTGCTCTAAAAAATAATTTTATAAACTGATATTTTCAATTTGTTGAAAGGTTTGTTGGGTTCCTTACTTATATTTTCACCTTTTGCAGTGGAAATATCACACCACCGCAACTATATTGGGTGACCCTTATAATGAACAAATTTTACTCAAATGATTAAATATGCGTGTTTATTATTTTTGTTTTGGTTGAGTTGTATATTATGTATGTAAACTAACAACAAAAAATATTTTAATGATTATATAATAGTTTGTAAGTTTTTATTTTAAATGCATAAAGTTGCATTTTTTTTTTTGTTTACTTATTTAAAATGCAACCTAAACTAATAGACATTTATTTATTTATAGTTTTACTGTCTCCCAGATAATTATGAAATTATTGATCCATCCCTAGAAGATATTAAAGTAAGAATTTTAATAATTAAAAACTAATATTTACTGAAACATTTTCTGATTTTAAACAAATTTTTTTCTTTTTTTAGTATTTGTTACAACCTACATTTAGTAAAGAGCACATTCGTCTTCTTGATAGCTCTACCAAAGTATCTCGTGCTCTTAATGGAACAGTGTATATTCCAGGTTTTAATAAGATTTTAGATATTTATAATTTTATAAAAAATAAAATTTTATTGAAATTGAAATAAAATTACTAAATAGTTTTACTCTATTAAAATGGTTACGTTTTTTTTTTCAGCAGCAGTAGAACTTTTAGATTTTTTGATTTCTTTAGCTTTCTGTTTTTATTGATTTCTTTAGCTTTCTGTTATTATTGATTTCTTTAGCTTTCTGTTATTATTGATTTCTTTACCTGTCTGTTCTAAATAATTACAAGCTCTTGAACGTAATAACTATATACTTACAAGTATTGACCTGTGTCTTTTAACTTAAAACTTGTTTTCAGCCATTGTACAATAAACTTGATATTTTTATATTTATGAATGACAAATTTTTTTATTTTTCTACTTTTTTATCTTCTTGGAATTTATTTTGCTGATCTCTCCCAATAACCATATTGCAAATACATTGCACATTCAATGATCATGATTAATATTTTTTCTCTTTATTTTTATTCATTGTACTTAATTTCTTGATTTAATTTTCAATATTTTAGTCATAAACCAGGACTGGATTTTGTTTTGGGCAAGGTATGGGTCGTAACAAATAAAGTTTGTTTTGGTTTAGGAAATGGGGCTGGCTTATTGTTAGAAATGGGTGTCAAATTTATAAGTAAAAAGATAATTTTTTGGTGAGAAGGGAGAATCTTTCTAGTCAAAAATTGCAATTAAAATATTTAAGGTAAATCAGGCAATATGTTTAATTTCAAAAAATATAGTTTATTCTAATTTAGATTTTTATTACTTGATTTCAGATTAATACAACAAATTATAATACTAAATAATAAAAATCTAGTAAATTTTTATTATTTAGTTAATTTGATTTGTTAAAATTAATATTTAGTACTTATTTAAGTTAATGTGTTTATTACAGGTGTTGTTGGCCTAAATAATATCAAAGCAAATGATTATTTAAATGTTGTTCTACAGGTATCAATTTTATTTTTGTATATATATATATATATATATATATATATATATATATATATATATATATATATAGTAGAAAAAAAAATTTGTAATTTTCATATTTTCATATTTGAAAATTACATATATATATATATATATGTAATATTCACAAATTTAAGTTTCATGCTAATTGCAATCATTAAAAAAATACAAATATATTTTTTTTGTTAAAAAAATTATATAAAATCGGAACTAGTTATGTAAAACTATACAGAAAAAACTATTGTTACAAGCGCGTGTATTTAATCTTCAGGGTTGTGGTTGCTTAATAGAAATTAATTTTTGTGATGACATCTGGAAATCGCATTTTTATAAAAAAAAAGAATTAGTTTTTCATATAAACAAAGTAAACATTTTTTTGTTGTGTTGTTGTAAGCAGGGGTTCTTTTTATGATAGACCAAGTTAATTTAGGCGTTTCTTTGAGTCTTTCCCATATATATTTTGCAGGGATTATCTTTTTCCGGATATTTTTCTCAATTTTTAGTTTTTCCGGATATCAAAAATGTTTTCCATACATACAAGTTTAGGTATATATTTTAGTAATATATTTGTTTTTTAAGTTTTTTCACTTATTACTCATACAAAAATTAAGAAAAATTAAAAAAAAAATTAGTGACTCTTAGGTTATTCCAGTTTCCAGTTGGAATTATAATATTTCTGACAGGAATGCTGGAATTTATTTTTTACTTTATTTATTTAAAGTGATCCCAAACTCCAAACACATGTTGTGTTCATATTAAAGATAAAGTTAAAAAAAGGTTTGAACCAAGTTTTTTTGATTAAAAATAAATAATGAATGCATACGGAGTAAAACTAATCTTGTTGTTTTAGCCGAAGCTCGCCTTCTCCATTTTTTTTAATAACTCTTTAAATTAAGCGTCGCAATCGACAGACTTTGGCGATTCTATTGAAACGCATTTAATTCATAAAAGTTTTAGTATTTGACGTCACGGTAGACTTTAGACAAATGAAACACTAGAAAAAAATTTTTTTTTTTTATATATAAATTTTTTCCTTATTTGTTTAGTTATTTATTTTCTACTTTTTAGATTTAAAAAGATATTAAAAACCTTAAATATTTTATGCTGGTTCGTTGCTATAAATTGATATTGCACTATATTAATTTTATTAAATGATGAATATTTATTATCTCAATCAAGATTCTAATAAAAAATTGTTTTATATTAATTAGTCGTATAAAATTAGTAGCAGCATTTTTTTATTGGTTAGACAACATTTTGTCTGAATTTGCTTTGCATGAAGTTTGCAAGTCAAACGAAAAAACTTAGTTTAAATAATCTTGTCTTATTTAAACAAATGACGAGGATACTAAAGTCTTTTTACAACAAATGTAGGTAAAAAATAAATAATTAAATAGAAAGTTTAACATTTAAAAGCTTTTTTTTATTGTATTTTAACTGTAAATATTTAAATATTAACTTCAACTAAATTTACTTATTATTTAAAACTACTAAGCAATAAATAAAAATCCTGTATAATTATGCAATATTGTGTTATTTATTTGATTATTGTTATTGTTTATGTTGATTATGTTGATTATTTTCATCAATACCAAAATAGTCCCAGATTAGACTGTTAGTTGCATTGCTCATTGTTGATTTATTTCTAATTTAATTTTGTCTTCAAGTTTAATTCTATGTAGAGAAAGAAAAGTTTTTATTTCATCACGCGCTTTTTTATAAAAAGCTTGAAAACTTGTATTTGTCAATTTTGTGAGTTTTTTTATTTTCCATGTTAAGAGACAAATCTCAAATACGAAACATAAATTGGGAAATATTAAATATAATATGTACTTTAATGCGCGTTATGACATTTTGACAATTTAAACTACCATCTACCTTGAATTGCCATTAGTATGTTAATTATAGTGTTAATTAAAAATAGTTTGTCTATATTTTTGTTAAATGTTATTGTATTAAATGGGCTAAAATATACATACTTCATGTTTTTTATTTGATGGCTATATAATATTGAACAATGACTATTAGTTGTACTTGTAATTTACAAGTACAACTTATAACAGCACAAGTCGGCATTATAAATTTTATTTATAAGTTTACTGTTCAATATTTTATAGCCATCAAATGAAAAACATGAAGTATATATATTTTTGCCTGTTTAATACAATAACATTTAACAAAAATACAGACAAACTATTATTAATTAATGCTATAATTAACACATTAATTAGTGGCAATTCAAGGTAGATGGTTGTTTAAATTGTCAAAATTTTGTAATGCGCGTTAAAAAACATATTATATTTAATATTGTTATATAAGTTGCAATGCAAAACTAGAATCTCTCATATCCTTTAGCGAATTTTCATATCTGATACTACTGTCAACTGTATTGTTTATTGTATTCTTGTATTTTTTTTTCATAACCTTTACAGGTTCTAATTGGTATGGAGTTGCCGACATTTTGAAAGTTTCGTTATCAAAAATCAAATGCAAATTTTAATGATATTTTCTTTTTATTCATATACAATTTAGCATTTTAAATGCGCTCCAAAGGAGTCGCTGAAGTGTGTAGATAGCGACATATAATTTAAAGACTCCGAGTTATTGAAAAAAATGGAGAAGGCAAGCTTCGGCTAAAACAACAATATTAGTTTTTCTCGGAGTGCATTCATTATTTATTTTTAATCAAAAAAACTTGGTACAAACCTTTTTTTTTAACATTATCTTTAATATGAACACAACATGTGTTGGGAGTTTGGGATCCCTTTAAGACAGGTGACACAGACTGTGTTAATTAAATCAAAAAATGATTGTCCTACAGGGCAATGAAGAACTATGGGTAAATTTAGTGTAAAAATGCAAAATTCTTAACAAATACAAATAAATTTAGGTAAAGCTACAGTTTAGCGCTCTGAAATAATTTTATTTTTTCACTTGTTGCACTCTCGTCAGTGGAGAGTTTTTAAACATTTGAAATATTAAAAGAAAAATGAGCCCTATGCTAGATCCTCAGTCAATGCTTCAGTACCTTGTAGAAGCAGGCTATAAGATAGTCGATGTAGCAACATTCTCTTGTAGCAGCAGGCTATAAGATAATGGATGTAGCAGCACTCCCTTGTAACAGCAGGCTATAAGATAGTTGGTGTATGTACAAAAGCCAATATATATATATATATATATATATATATATATATATATATATATATATATATATATATATATATATATATATATATATATATATATATATATATATATATGTATATATATATATGTATATATACACACTATAGGCTATATATATTATAGGTTATAAATATATATTATGTAGACACAATGCTGAGGTGCAGGCTGTCACTTTCAATCTTGAAGGTAAAAAAACTATATGTAATATATATATATATATATATATATATATATATATATATATATATATATATATATATATATATATATATATATATATAAGTATAAATATATGTATATATATAAGTATAAATCTCCAAGATTTCATAGTTCCAAGATTTATACTTATATATATATATATATATATATATATATATATATATATATATATATATATATATATATATATATATATATATATATATATATATATATATATATATATATAGGCTGTCACTTTTAATCTTGAAGGTAAAAAAACTATATATAATATATATATAAGTATAAAATATATATATATAAGTATAAATCTTGTTCCGGCTGGCCGGAATTTTTTTAACAATTCCAGCATCCGGTTCTGGACTGAATTCAAAATTTCCAATCCGGTACACCCCTAACAATCTATGATTTTGGAGAGGTTGGTTATGTTTGAAAGTTTTTTATTTATAAATGATCTCCTTTATATATATATAGTTTGCATATCTCCTTTTTTCCACACTCCTTCTGATAAACCAATGTATGCTTTGCTGGGTATGTTTGGGGAAGATGTTATGCATTTGTAAATTATATTTGTTGTTCTACAATATTTATTCAGCAGGCAAATTTCTTTCTGTTTGCAATTACAAGAGCAATTTTCACTTTCTTGATAGATCACCTCAAAACACCATCACTAAAAACATACATATTATTCCCCTAACAGAAGTTAGTTTTAATCTTAACTACTTATTATTCCAATACAAGTTAGTTGAGCACTCACTTGCATCGACTTCAAAAAAATGGAAAAATTTAATCTTAACTACTTGTTATTCCAATACAAGATGAAACTAAAACTACTAAAGCTACAAACTAAAACTAATTGAAAAAATTGTAGGCTTTATAAAAAGAATACACTGGAAAACATATTTCCACATGAACAAAACCCAAACAAGCACACAAGAAAAATTTTGGATTAAAAATGAAAAAATACCACAATGCGCAATCAAAAACCTTGCCGTCTATTCAATCCAGCTAAAAGTTAATATGATGTTGTCAGCAAAACATACCTAGAAAAAATCAACAAGAAAATAAAAAACAAATTAAAACTAAACCAATGGAAAAACATCACTGAAGTAATCAAATAGTTTACAAACCTAAGCAACAAGCAACACTGTGTGTTTATAAAACTCTACAATAATGAATTTTACCCATCCATCACAAAAGACACTCTAAACAAAGTTTAAATATTTGCAAAACAACACACTGAAATCAGCAATGAAAAAAACTAGGGTCATAAATTATTGCTGAAAATCCTTATTGTTTTTTACTAATAATACATGGAAAAAAAAGATGCATAACGATTTTTTTGGAATGTTTTGACGGAGCCAAAGTGTGTGAACTAGTAGGTTTATACATTCTAGACTCTTTATCTAAAACCATTACTAAAAATGATATAGGTCTTTACCGAGACGAGGAGTTGATGGTAATGCGCAAAAAAAGTCAGAAAAAAAATAATTGAGACATTTAAAAACATCGCATTCCAAATAGAGATTCTAACCAATCTAAACAGGGTTAATTTTCTCGATGTAACTTTTAATCTTCAAAAAAACTTTTACCAAATTTTTTAAAAAAAATAACCAACTACTCTACATCCACACTGAGTCAAACCACCCACCTTAAGTCCTTAAGCAGATCCCTCTCTCCATTTATAATCGACTATCACAAAATTCTTTCATTGAAAAAATATTTAACTCATTAAAAATAGAATATGAAGAAGCACTTAAATAAAACGGTTTTAAAAACTTAAACTTAAAGTACAACCCAAAAGACAAGACATCCCCCCAAAAAAAAATATATATATATAATTTGATTTAACCCACCTTACAATGAAAGAGTCTCTCTACCAATGTTGGCCAAATCTTTTTGCAATCAATAGATAAGTATTTCCCACCTTTAAAGAATGCCTTCCAAAACTTAAACCCTCAGTCTTTTTATGTACACTCCACTATTACTATTACTACATGCACCTATTCTTATTTTAGTCAGACAACGAATGTGATTACTATATAAATATTTTTTTTCTGTAAATAATGTTTATATTATGTGCACACTATTTGTATGTGCATACAAATAATGAATTTCTTTTCAAACACATGAGATATTCTTAGTTACACAAAATGCATTTATATTTTCGGATTTTTTCCAGATAGTTCTTAAAAATATTTTCCTGATTTTTTCCTGATATTTTTAAGAAAAAATTTTTCGGATTTTTATAATATGACCTGGATAATCCCTGATATATATATATATATATATATATATATATATATATATATATATATATATATATATATATATATATATATATATATATATATATATATATATATATATATATATATATATATATATGTATATATATATATATATATATATATATATATATATATATATATATATATATATATATATATATATATATATATATATACATACATACAGTGGTTTTCATAAATTTAGACGCACTCATATTTGAGAATAGAAAATTTTAGGTATTTTAACGATAAAACAATGACGAAAAAAGATTTCGGTTTAGTTTTTTTTCTATTTATCAGATAAATACATACAGAATACAAAATTTAAAAAAAGTTTACAAAAAAAATGAAATACTAAGTAATAGTTAGGTACAACTACATGGTATTAAAAAAATTAGACAAAAAAAATTATTTATAAATTTAGACGCACGATACATTAGAAGGCGTATTTTATGAACCAATCAATATTTTGTGTAGTCGCCTTTTGCTTTAATACAACTAAGAACTCTTCGAGACATAGACTCAACAAGATTTTTGTACATCGCTTCTGGGACCCCATACCAGGTCTCCTTAAGGAATTCCTTCAGCTGACCAAGTGTGGAAATTTGAACCTTTGCTAATTCACGATCAATCCAAGCCCAAATGTTTTCAATCGGGTTCAAATCAGGTGAATATGGAGGCCACGGTATTGTCATAATATTATTATCGTTCAGCAACTCCTTTGTATAGTATGCAGTATGTGCAGTAGCGCTATCTTGTTGAAGTTTCCATGGTTTATTATTGAGCATAAGCAGGTCAATTGATGGAATTAGGTTGTTTTCCAGTACTTCTACGTATATTCTGGAGTTGATTCTTCCGGTGTATGTTTGGCACATACCAAAACCTTTGTAATTGAAGCATGACCAGATTCCTATCGAGCCTCCTCCACTTTGTACAGTTGGTCTAATGTACCTGGCGTAATACTTTTCGTGAGCCATTCTTTTGACTGTTATGTTAGATTTGCGATTGATAAGCTCAAAGTTACTCTCATCACTCCACATAATGTTTTCCCATTGATTTATTGTCCAATACCTTCTTTGACGACACCATTTTAGTCTCCTTTGTTTATCATATGGACGCAGAAGCGGTTTCTTCAAAGCAGTGTAGACTCCAATCTTGTATTTGATAAGTATTCGGCGGACTGTGCTTTGAGAAATAGATGTATTTCGCGTTGTATTGAATTCTGTGGTCAATTCTTTGTAACTAATTCTTGGATTAGCTCTGACAGCTCTAAAAAGAACACTATCGTCCTTTCTCGTGGTTGACAAGGGTCTACCTGGCCTCGTTTTCTCGCTGGCACCACCAGTGTGAAGAAAGTTTTGTTTCGTTGTCCGAACACATTTCTCAGAAACTCCAATTAACTTGGCGATTTCTCTATTACTTTTGGTTCCTTCTTTGATGTGCGCAATAATTTGCCATCTTTCACCTTGAGTAATATGTCTTTTGCCCATTTTTTACGTTTTTTTAGTGCAAAACTAACTTAACTTTTGTTTATTTATTAAATAATGATTAACTTATTCCAGGTAAGTCATATTTATATAAGGTTTTTTGACAAAATCAATTAATTTAGGCCTATTAATGAGAAATATAAGAAAAAAACTACTAATTAACTATCAATTAAAAAGATATAAGACTTTTTTAATTGTGCGTCTAAATTTATGAACAAAATAAAATCAAGTTTATCACTTAACTTTTTTGTGTTAATCGGTATAAAATGAGTAATAAACATCCTGTAAAAAAAATTAAGGTACTCTATAATAGAGTTTCATTTCCTCTTTTAAATTATATATCAAACATAGCGGTAGCACTTTTATTTTATTTTTATTTTGAGTATTTTCTTACATATATGAAAAAAAAATGAATGCGTCTAAATTTATGAAAGCTACTGTATCTATATATATATATATATATATATATATATATATATATATATATATATATATATATATATATATATATATATATATATATATATAAATTATTTAACGTTATTTTTAGTAAAAAAAAACATCACCAAAGCAACAATGAAAACAACAGTTTCCCCAGTTACGATTATAACACCTTTTTTTTTACTGTTAGTAAAACATTTATTCATATTTTCAAAAATCATTATAACAATTAGACTAAAGTATTAAAAATAAAGAAAAATATTCAAGTCTGTGTTTAATGTTTGTATAACCTTGTGTTTAGCTTCTTATACTAATTTTTTGTACTAACATGCCCAACAGGTTATAGTTTGAGATTAAACTAAATAAATACAGAGTCTTTATGAATTATTAGACAACTGCTAATATATTTTTTATTATTTTTTAGGCTCTTGTTTTTGTTCCACCTATTCGCAACTACTTCCTAAGAGTTGAACATTACAATAATATTAAAAGACCTCCTGGTGATATAATGTTTCCTTTAGGTAAATTAGACATAAAGACATAATTTGTAAAAAAAAATTTTTTAATAATAAATTATTAGTTGCTATTAGTTTTATACTGTGTTAGTAAAACCAAGAAAAATCTTTTTTAAATAGTGTTATCGCAAAGTTATGATTTTTTATAGTGCAAAGATTTGGTGAGTTAACTCGAAAAATATGGAATCCTAGAAATTTTAAATCTCATGTTAGTCCTCATGAAATGCTACAGGTATTTTTTATTGTGCCTATGTATACAACATATATTGTTTATATGCATAATATAATGTATATATAATGTATATAAACAAATCATCATAACTTTGATAGTTTATTTTTTTTAAGTTTAACTAATGTTGCAAATTATCAGAATTATTAAAAATATGAGTAACAATATGAGGTTGGAGTATACCCTTTGTAGTTTTATTAATTTTTATAATAAATTACCTGTTAGGATCTTAAAACAAAATACATTTTGAAAGAAGCAAATAAATATTCAATTGCAGAGAGGAAAAAATAAATAAATATAACAAATTGCATTTTGAAAAAATATTTAAAAAAAATTTAATTGTGTCTTTCACTTACAACTTAAAAACTAATAATGCCAAGAACAGCAGCAGAACATTTACAACTTAAAAAAATGTCAAGAACAGCAGCTACGACTTAAACGTTGACAACATTGTTCCAATATTTATTGAGGAATAATCAATTTTTAACCAAAAATTCATTAAAAAAAAATTAATTTAATCAGCAAAAACAATTACTTTAGAGAACAAAGTTTTGACACATTAAGAGTTTCTTATCATTCTAATCCCTCCAATTATTGTCTGATCAGTCTTCTTTCTGTTATTAGCAAGGTTTTTGAGTCCTGTCTTGACGAAAGTCTTCTCTTCAATTGCTTAGTACCGGCAGTCAATCTTGAATCTGATCTCACTTCTGTAACAGATTGGGACTTGCAGTAGCTTTTAAATTTCAACTCCAACAAAACTCAGTTATATACAAACAAATTCTAAAAAAAGTAAAAACCAACAACTATTGAAGTATTATCAACATTCCTATTTTAACAAATGACCTCTTCTTTAAAAAGAGTCCTCTTCTTTATGTCTTTTTGAATTATCGTTTATAGCTGACTTTTCATGGAAATTATTTATACAATCAATTGCTAAATTAGCATTCGCTAAGGTTGCTTCGCTTTAACGTGCACGCCATTTTCTTACTGCTGATTCCACTCTATATTGAACATTCATTTTTTTAAACTGATGACCAATTGTCAATAGATATTGACAATTGGTCATCAGTTTTAAAAAATGAATGTTCAATATAGAAAACGTGAAAATACACTATAGAACAACAGATTTACACTGAATTTAAAACCTATTTTTATCTGACTGACCTTTTTTCGATTATAGACAAGTCTCATTAATTTTGGCTTTCTTTTCTCTCGTCCATGATGTTGGACGACCAAGGTGCTTTCTATTATTTACACTGAATTTAAAACCTATTTTTATCTGACTGACCTTTTTTCGATTATAGACAAGTCTCATTAATTTTGGCTTTCTTTTCTCTCGTCCATGATGTTGGACGACCAAGGTGCTTTCTATTATTTACACTGAATTTAAAACCTATTTTTATCTGACTGACCTTTTTTCGATTATAGACAAGTCTCATTAATTTTGGCTTTCTTTTCTCTCGTCCATGATGTTGGACGACCAAGGTGCTTTCTATTATTTACACTGAATTTAAAACCTATTTTTATCTGACTGACCTTTTTTCGATTATAGACAAGTCTCATTAATTTTGGCTTTCTTTTCTCTCGTCCATGATGTTGGACGACCAAGGTGCTTTCTATTATTTACACTGAATTTAAAACCTATTTTTATCTGACTGACCTTTTTTCGATTATAGACAAGTCTCATTAATTTTGGCTTTCTTTTCTCTCGTCCATGTTGGACAACCAAGGTGCTTTCTATCAGAAAAGGATTAAACAGTTTTAAGTCTTTTTAGGTTATTATATATTGTATTTCGAGAAAATCCTTCCTTTTCAAAATGACTTACAATTTTATTGTTCTATACTAAAAATCCTTCCTTTACAAAATGACTTTTTTTTTATATTACGTTTATTTACTCAAAATATTGCTATAAAATTGTTTGGAGGTTTTGTTTTGATTTGCAGATTTTGTTTTGATTTGTAGATTCTGTTTTTATTTGGAGATTTTAGCTTTTATTTGCAGATTTTGTTTTTATTTGGAGAATTTGTTTTGATTTTGTTTTGATTTGGAGATTTTGTTTTTATTTGTAGATTTTGTTTTGTTTTGATTTTGTTTTGATTTGCAGATTTTGTTTTGATTTGCAGATTTTGTTTTGATTTTCAGATGTTTTTAGTACTTTATTTCTAAAACTTGTTTATAATCAAAAAATATAAAATTTTAAATCCTCGATCAGATAGAATCATTTAATTCAGTAAAATTGCTCCAAAAAAGACTTGTTGAGGAAAACTATTTTTCCCATCAAAGATACCTATTGCAATGGATATTTTAGGATTGATTGGTATTTTCTGAGAGAGACAAATGATCAGGAGTTAAAGAAAAGAGCTAAGAACTTTAAAATAAAAGAAGAGAAATTAATCAACCAATTTTGGATGATTATAATTGTCTAGCTTTGATGAACAAAGTAATAATAGAATATGTTTATTAGAATATGAATTAATTTAAGTGAATGTATATTCTTACTTTAAAAATAAAATGTTTATCAGGGCTGTAGAGTTGGAGTTGCGGAGTTGCGACAATTTTAGCGGAGTGGGAGTTGGAGTCGCTAAAAAATATCGTGATTCCGACTCCAATAGTAATATTTCTTGGTATTGCACGTGTATGTACAAAACATTCAATTAACCTTATGTTCATACTAAACCTCAAAGAACGTTGCATAAGTTTGTCAAAAAAATATTTCAACTTATCGCGCAATATTTTTTTAAAGAATACAAAGAATTTTTCAAAAATTTTGCTTTGGAGTTGGAGTCGGAGTTGGAGTCAGAGTTGTACTCAAAAAATTTCAACAACTGGAGTCGGAGTACTTACTTTTTTACCACACTCCTGATATTTTTATACTGATATTTCACTAAATTATCATTTTATATAGTATTTGATTACAAAAAATATATTATATATCATATATAAAATCAAGGTTATAACCTTGACAGCACTAAGATTTTGCAGAATATGGATTTCTCAGCATGGGCTGAGAAATCCATATAATGCAGAATCTTAGTGCATCTGGTTCAAACCTTTAAAATCTTACCTAGGTTGTTGAATTTATTGTAGGTGTTTAGGTTCCAAACTGGAACCTAAACACCTCCTTGGAATCAAATTGTATTGGGTTAATGGCTCAAAAGATATTATTTATTAATTGAAACTTCTCAGGAGTCAGAGGAAACCAGTTCTTTTAAAAATTATTTAGAATACTGTTAAAATCTAACAAAAAAAAAAAAAAAAGCTGCTTTTGCTTGGTCATTTTCAAGAATTCATTGAAATAGATTTTATATTTAATTTATATGTACATAAATTTATATTTGCCTGTGTCATATTGTAATATGTTTATACATATATTTTAACCTGTGTTGTATTGTAACAAAAATATGTTTATACATATATATTAGCCTGTATCATATTGTAACAAAAATATGTTTATACATATATATTAACCTGTGTTGTATTGTAACAAAAATATGTTTATACATACATATATTAGTAAAACTCAAAATCCCTGGGCACTATACTTTGCAATAATCATTTATATCAAATTGATCATGTTTAAAGTTTCAGCTTGTAAGGTTATGTGTAGCAGATTAACGTTGAACCAAATTTTTAAATTTTCATGTTTTTTATGGAAAATATTACTAATAAATAATAAATAATAATTAAATAAACTTTATAATAATATAAAAGTTTATAAAGTATTGAAAATATTACTTTTAAAATACATTTTATATTAGTAGCAAAAAAATATTGAAGTCCAAAAAAAAAAAAATTTACCGAAAAACAAATTTATTTAAATAATAACAATCACTAAGCGTTGTTGCAAAGATACACAATATCAGTTTTTCCAATTTTCATTTTATACTTTTTTTATAGGATTTTTGTAAATTTGTTTTTCTATTCAGATTTTCTCATTGCAACTACAATTTTTTTGATAACATTAGCAGACATCTCCCTCTCCCTACAAGCATCCATTTTGACTTTGATCTTCAGATTTACTTTGTATAGACAATCTCTTGACACAGTTATTTGTTAGTTGCATGTTTTTTGCAAACTTAATAAAATTTCTGTTGCTCTTAAAATGACTCTAACAGTCAGAATCGCCCTTTACCCATTTATTACCATCTTCCTTAGAAACACCAACAATGTCAAAAAGCATCCAGCTTTCTAAACCAACAAGCTTAGGAAGAGTCAAGTTATTGTTTTAATCATAAAATTTTGTGGACCCTAACACCTTTAGTTTAAGAATGACATGCAAGTATTTTATCGTTTCTACCTCTGTGTATCAGGCAAATATTTTTCTGCTAATGCAAGAACAACTAATTGTTTGTCCAAATACCATATGTAGTGATTTATCCTTTTTATTACATATATACAACCCTCAGAATTAGGGTCCGCATTCGACAAAGCTGACCTAACTGTCGACATGAAAGTGTTTGCAATCAGCAAAATATTTCCAACCTTGTTTCTATGTTTTATGGTAAGACCTTTGTATCAAATTTTTTTTTGCTGATCTGATGCCGACCTATAAGAGATTGAGGTTTGCAAATTATTGCTGACCACATTTTTCCTTATTCTGAGGGTTGTATATAACATATTTTTTATACATAACACTTGTAAAGAAGCATCATTAAACTTTTTCTCCTCATTTTTAATATTTTCCTTCTCACTGTTAATATTTTCCTTCTCACTATTATAATATTTTTCTCTTCATTGTTAATATTTTTCTTCTCACTGTTAATATTTTTCTCTTCATTGTTAATATTTTTCTTCTCACTGTTAATATTTTTCTCCTCATTGTTAATATTTTTCTTCTCACTTTTTTTTGTGTAACCTTAGTCATCTGCATCGTTAAAATATATAGCGCAAATAAAAAAGCCATAAATTTTGCATTATACATTGCACTAGGCTGGGAATCCAAAGTTCTCGATAACACCGCTAAAAAAAAATGTACATAACTTGACTAAATTGTGACCTCAGC